CCATTTTGTTTTAAAGAATTAGTTTTCGATCCATATCTCGGACATGCCTGGACAGATCAAGTTCAAACTTAACATACACATCATACATTATATCATACATATGCCTGTGCATTTGGGCTCAGTCCTATTAATGGTCAAAAATTCGTCAAAATTGCACATATTCACCATGGGTGAATTTAGTTAACACTTCATGCATACATTGTACATTATGGTACCTTGAATCACGTTGTTTTGTTTTCCAAATCGGGTTTTAACTGAATACAGTTCAGCATCCATATATCAGGCATGCCTGAACCGATCAAGACCACACTTCACACACATCATACAATGTGTTGTACATATGCAGGTGCATTTCGGATCAGACCACTGAAAGAAGTGGTCTGAGATTTCGGTCATGATCGGCTTTGAATGTATATGTCACTCAAATATGAACGGAACGGGGACGTGTCATTGGCAATGACTTGTTTGATACATGAATTATAAAAATGTTATTTGTCTTCTCACTGTTGGCCAAGTGGTTGACAGATTGGCATTGGAATAATTGGAATTGCAGTATGCTGTAATTTGTATTAAGAAAAGTAGACGTCATAGGGTAATATGTATGTTCTATTTTCACAGTGGATGATTATAAAGCGTACATTGAAAAATATGGAACCACCAGGATTGATTTTGAGAAGAAAATGACGGAATCATGCAAAGTAAGTATGTGGTGTATAACGTAATGAATGCACAAAGCATACACAAAGTATGCATAAAGTGTGCGCAAAGTATGCACACTTCGTGCAAAGTATGCACGCTTTGTGCAAAGCATGCATAAAGTGTGTATAATGTGTTTGCAAGGTATGCAAAAAGAGTGTATGAAGCATGCAATAAGTATGTATGAAGCATGCACAAAATAAATATATGCAAAGTGCATGCACAAAATATATACAGAGCATGCACAGACTATTATCTTGATAGATTGATATGTAGCTAGGGTCTATGCCATCCCATACTGCCTGTGTGCATACTTTTTATTAGACATCAGTGCTTGCTAATACCGGTAGTCATAATTTAGTGAGGGAGAAAATTACGCTATGTTTAGTTTTCAGATGTGACAATTCTGGTTTTTTTTTCTTCAAATTATAGCAATTTCAGCAAATAGAGGAAGCTCATTTGAAACACATGAAGAGTGTACTGAGTCAGTACAACACAACACATGAAGAAAAACACAAACTTATAGGACAGGTGAGATTCACTTCCAAAACAGGTACAGATTAAAATGGTGCCCCATCACCTTGGCTCCAAAGTGTTCTATGTGTTCCATCAACCACAATCAGGAGACTTCACGATTAAAGAGAAATGGTCACTCTTTGAAATAAACGTGTGTTTGTTTTTTCTAGGTGCATCATGATTTTCGTGAACTATGTGACAGTTTCACAATAGCTAAGTTGATTCTAATGTTTTCTGAAGCAAAAGGAACAGGACCAGATAGACCTGGTATGTTTTGAATAACATTCTGTGGTAAAACACTCGTAATTGGGCTGGCTTCCTGTTTTATTGTTGGTTCTTTTTGCTTACACTAACACACTTGGATTCAATCAGCTCTGAATTCATTTTCTTAGATGACAATCTTAAATGGTCCATGCGTGAGTGACACCACTAATCACTCTCTGTCAATTCATCTGTCTGTAGGGACCATATCATTTGAAGAATGCGATGTGTCCAATATACCAACTCCAGAACCAGTGCCCAGGGAAAAACTGAAAAAGAAATTGAGGAAAACAAAGAAAAAGAAAAATGATAAAGACAGTGAATCAAGGTGGGAACATACAGGAATCTGTAAAATTGGCGCTGTTTGAAGTATTCATGATTTGATACACTGACATTGTTCACAGCAACAGAATTTGTTGTGATTTTCCTGTTCTAATACATCAATAGCTTGATGAATAGATGAAATGAAGGAGAAAAAATGACTCCAGCAAATAATGTGTTAAAAGGAAATTTCAATAATTTCAACATTAAAAGCATTGACCAGTGTATTCATATAATTATCACGTATGAAGGAGTACAACAGCACAATAGACCAATATAATTTACACAGTGGCTAAAGAGTCCTCAGAAAGCCATACACATTACATATGTATCCCATGCCACAGTTGCATTTACAGTAAGACTTATTTTGAACATAGATACTAACATGAGATGTGGCGTGTGGACATCAATACAGCACAACTAAAACGCAGTTTATTACTTCCAGTTCCATGACTTCAGAAGCATGGGGTCATATTCACCTACCATACAATGTATATGGGCATTTTGTGACCATAATTTTTGTTTTGTTTTTCAGTGGTGTGCCAGATGGAGACACAGTAAGTGCATTTTCTTCATTGTCATTTTATGTCCATTTTATCATTCCTGCTGGTAACTTCTTCAAAGACTAAGAAATAATCTTTATTATTTTTGCATTACCGTAGTTCATTGAAAATTTTATGTGATGTGTAAGCATTGTTAAAATTATTTGTGTTTAGTTGATGTTTGCAGAAATAGAAACAAAATTCACACCTACATGTATTGATGTGAAACTCAAAAATATTAGCTTCCCATTCATAGACAATATTTCTTCTCTGGCGACAATAGAATCCTCACAAATTTATTGTTTATTTCAAATCAAACAGACAAACAGGA